TGTCATATAAGATCATTAAATGTTTACCAGACACGATAATCTACTCATGTGTAAATCATTATTATTTTTAAAATGATTATTTAATACCAAACATTACTTTGGAGTTTAGACATTTCTTATTATTGATAAAGTAACAATAATAAACAATAAAAATCGAGTAATAATTGTCTAGAAAAAATGTAAAAAAAGGAACTGATTAGGCAATCACTTTTCTAAACACCATTTCCTTTCTCTAGTCATATAAATGTATATAGACTAAAAGATGAGGGGTTTATTTATATTAGTGTAATTTTTATAATTTTTTGAATTTTTTGATCAAAATTATTAAATTTAAAAATTTATTTTGAATCAAATAAATCATAAATTTAATTTTGATTTAAAAATCTAAAAAGATATAAGAATTACATTAGTACAAGTGAATCCCTACTCTAATATATATATATATATATATATATATGTTATGAGTTTATATTAGATTTACCAACAATGTATAAATTTTATACGATTTCATTAAATTACAAGTTAACACATAATCAATAAATAAATAAACACATATTATATATAAATATATATATATATATATTCCAAATTCCCATTATTAGTGAAAATATCTTTTTAAATTCCATCCAGATTTTTTTGTCTTAATTCAACGCCAATCCATTAGTTTTAGGAATTGGGCATCTCTTTCCAAAATTATCGATTTGACAATGTAAAAAAGCCTTACCTTTAGGCCTAACCTACTCATTGTTGGTTTCTATCTTTTTGACGGAAATCCCGGATGTGTTAAAAAAAATCAAGAGGGAAAAAGAAAGAAAATGTGAGAAATCAATTGAAAATAAGAAGATTCACCCATGAAATTACTATGTATTTTGATATTCTACCGATGAAAGAAAACTTGTTTAGGCTTTGATTATTTTCCATTACTGGAGTTGAAGAAAATTAAAAGAGATAAGAAAGGTCGAGAGGTTTGCTTGCATGGCATAAGTTAAGATAAGCAACTGGGCTGGGCTTAGCACGATGGATCATTGTTGGAGTGGGGAACAAATGGTCATATTTCATTTTGAATAATGACCGTCATGTATTCAATATTGGGGTTTGTGTGTAGTAAGATGCAAGGTCAACTTGTAAGTTAAAGAAATTGAAAGTTTCGTTTGAGATGGAGCCAAACAGGAAAAAAAAATCAAAAATCAAATTTATACAAATTTATAGGGATTTCAATGTGTAAAGTATGAAACAGATAAAATATTATCTATCTTTATTCTTTGATTTTTATATTATACTTTTTTTTGTACCTATATTGTAGAGATATTTTAAATCTATTCACATTTTCATCCTTATCATTAGTAAAAGAAAAAAAAGTAAAGTAAAGTAAAAGAAGGAAAGATTTTTTAAAGAAAAGAAAAATATATACGTGTCATTTGTTTGGATAGCTAAAATTAATAAAAAAAAAAAAATTTTAACAATCATCGTTTAATTAAATAATGGAAAGGAAAGTAAATGATTTATTAAATTATTTTTTTATTATAACCTTTGATAATTTTTATTTTTACTATGACGTTTACATGTTTATGTTAACGTATTTCATGTTTTCAATTTTTTTTTTTTTTGGTTTCAATGGGGACAGAGCCCTATATTAATAAGGGAGGGGAGAGGCTAGGGTCGAACCCCAACTCTGTCTTCTTTAAGGCTTACTTGATCACTAAGTCAAGCAGTTGAAGACTTCAATTTTCTTTATTTTTTTATAAAAATAGTCATCAATGAAATTTATGAAATTCATAAAATTAAGAGAAAAAAGTTAAAGACAATAAATTTATTGGTAAATTATGTTTTGTATTCTCAATCTAATTTTTGAGTTCAAAATTATACACTTTTAATTTTAAAAAATTAATAAGGATAAAATAATCATTTTATATTTTAAAATTTTTTTCTTTTCCTTTCCCTTCCTTTTCTTCCAATTTGGTGTAATTAAAAAATGAAGAAAATTGAGAGAAACCAAAGAAAGCTAAGCATACATTCTTTTCCTTTATTTTTATTTATGTCATATACAAAAAAGGGAAATGACTCTCCATTTCCTTTTGTTTCCTTTTCATTCTTTTTTTCTCTCCCCTTGCCTCAATCCAAACATATTATACTGATATTTAATAAATATAAATAATCTTTATATTAGTAGCTTTTTTTAAAAAATAAAAATATATTTTTAGCTTATTTTATATTTATCTTGCATATTTGTGTAATTCTTTATGAATATATATTAATAAATAAAAATATATTAGTTTTAATTAATTTAAAATAATAATTATATGATTTAATATAAAATCTATTTGCTAAATATATATATATGTAACGTATGGTTATGATATGAGATGAGTACTATATTATCCTTTCCTATTCTCATGTCCATTAAACTCGTTTTCATTCTCATCCTCATCTCCATAATATAATATCTATTTTTATTCTCATTTAGATAAATTATCGGATTCCTTATTAAATATGGATAAGATTGATATTTCTACGAACTTTTGCATTGTAAGTGCCGAGTTGAAATGATGGGCATGGTATCTTGACCTAACACAATTCTTAATAAAAATCGAGCTAAACAAGGCAAGTAATTGTAGCTCTAAGCCATGCTCGAATGACTCATTACGCAAGACAAGCCTCATATATTGTCTGTTCATTTTGCTATTTTTAGAAGCATATTATCTATAATTTTTTTATTACAATGCTATAATAATTTAATTAAAATAAAAATTTATGTAAAAATTCACTACTTATAAATATGAATTTTATATAAAATTTTGATAGATTTTATATTTTAAATTATGATTGATTAATTATATTGTAATCATTACAAATAATATCATCTTGCCATCTTTAGATATTGACGAGGAAAAAAGACAAAGAGACATGATTATGTGATGAGTATAATAGGAGACCTAACCAAGACTAATATTGAAATGGGATTTTATGTTTCCACCATTTGATAATGATGTAATTGCTCAAATTTTGTTAACAACGTTTATAATTTTAGGCGGGATGTTTAATTCTCAAATTAATGGATTAATCTTAAATTAAGGTAAAAAAATAAGGGATCAAAATGGAATTTATTAAAAAAATTAGAAGCCACAAAAATTTTTCAACATCAACTATATCAATTAATATATTACAGTTATATTAAAATATAATATATTTAAAAGTGATTTTTCGTATCAATTTTTGTATTAGATAATATCGGTTGCTTTTATTGATTTTGGTAAATTTTGATGACTTAACTTATTTTAGTCCATATGTGAATGTGAAATGTGTTTTATAATTTTTGATTTATTTTTTATTATTTGACTATTTTAACTTAATAAAAATAAAATTAATTGATAAAATAACTATTAAAAGTTGAGTTCTTTTATTTTTTACTATAACTTATTTTTTATACTTTATTTTTCAAATCAAAATTCATAAGCATTTCAATCTCATTCAAAAAAGCAATTGTATTCTCTCCCTAAAATTTAATAATTATGAAGTCAAGATCTTTTTTTTTTTCATATTTTTGCTTTTATCTTAATATTTACATAAGAAAAATATTCATTTAAATATCATATAATTAGATTAAATATTTAAAAATATCATGATAAATTGATGATATTGAAATTCATATATATTTATAAATATATTTATATTAAATTAAAAATTTTAAATAATTAATATTGACATATATCATTTTAAAAAATCAAAATATTATTCTATATTAACAACCTTGCACCATATCATGGGTTGATACGTGCAGCATAGCCCACGACAATCCGGAAACCAAAGTCCAAAATGAAAGCCATAAAGGGAAAATAGGAAGGGCATCGAGGGTAAAATTGTGATTAGGAGAAAAACAAAATGGGAAGATGCAATTAGGGTTAAGAGCTTCATCCTCTTTATAAATGTCAAACGCAGTTAGCATTTTGGATGACCTTCGGGGCAGCCAGTTTTTTTATTATTATTATTCTTATTGTCTTCTTCTTGATCTCGACTCTGGCTTTTTCTTTTTATTTTCATTATAAAGTTATAATGTAGATTTTGAAAGGTATTTGAATTTGTGGGCAATGATGAGGAATTAGAGAAAGTCATGCACCACGCTGATTCTATTATGTGCTGATAATATCTCTCTACCCATTTTTTTTTCTGAGCTCCTTTTCCCGTTTCTATCTTATTAGCGTCTTTTCTTTTCTTATCTTTTTTATTTAATTTTTATTGATTTTCCAGGATTTGATTCATCATCGTTAAACTCATTTTCGTTTTTTACCCCTTCAGTTTTTCAATTGAAAAAGAAAAATAAGGGAACCAAGTGATGTGATCTTCTTTAACGGGAAGATTGAACCATGATGCGGACCGTACAGCTTTTCTGCTTCTGGGGATAACTTTTGGTTTCTGATGGTTCCACTCTTTAAGTTATACATCTGTAAAAACAAACTGCCTCTAAAATCTTTAAGCAATGAACAACTGATAAACCAGCAAATACTGTTGACTCCTTTGAAACAAAAAATTAAGAACAATAAATTTAAGCTGATTCATTAGGCTTTTGACAGAAATCTAACAGTGGGTTTTCTGGTTATATACATGCAAAAAATACATGAGTTAAATGCGTATTTTGCAAGAGCAGAAGCCTTAAGTAAGGTTAATACTGCATGCCATAAACTATTCTTGTTTGGTTAATATTTAATGCCATTACTATGATCCCACTTTTGATAAACCTGGGTCCATAATTTGCTTGGTAAACGATTTCTCATGTTTCCTATGTACAACGTGTTGCTCGCAATTTTGGCAATAATGAATCATTTGATACCATAACCAAGTTCTTACCTACATCTTTATGTACTGTTTCAAATGCTCAGAAGTTCTAAAAACTTAACTGTCTATAGAAGCTGCATTAATCCTATTCTTTTTTGCTTTCTGTTTGTCATGCTAAATGTTTTTTTTTTTTTTTTTTTTTTGAGGAGAGGAGAATGATGATGAACTCATTCATACTTTTCCTCTCTGTGCTTTAATAGATATGCCATTTGCAGAACTCAGTCAATTGATCAGTGATGCACAATATGCAAACTAAACTTACCCCAAAGATTAACATCTAAAAATCTTGAATTTTTCTTTGATGATTAGACTATATCTACCCTGTGAAGTAATGACTTTATCTTCACCTACCTCCTAGTACTAATCAACCTTTCCGACCATGAATTTTTCCCAAATTCAGTTGACTAAGCTAACAATTTCTTTTTTAGGAAGAAGTTGCAGGGACAGTAGCTAACTTGATTTGAGTTCAAAGGTTTAACAGTCAACAGTCGGTTAGTCACCCAAAAAAACTAATGTATCTGTAATATGTTTATGTCATCCCACATAATGTCATTGCTTACACCTTTGATTAATCCAATATAGTATCCGTACTACTCATGAACAGTGCGTTGGCTGCTGCTTGGCTTTTTCCTCCATTAACACCTCCACTTGAACAATGTAAAATTTTCTCATTATTTTGATAATGTAAGAAGATTGTTGATACATTGAATGGCTGCTTAATATTGATGTTTGTGATTAATTAATTATAGTTTAACCAATAATTTATTCAAGTTCAGACTTTGATGCTGTGATACGCTAACACTCAGGATTATTATAATATGATGTTCGGTAAATTCTCCACCTATATATCCGTCCCCTCCAGTGCAAATAATCCTCAAGCAGATCTTCTGTCATTTCGGAAGATGGCGATGTCAGGTATTGAAGGAGACAAATATCGTTCTTATTTGCAGGGAGAAGGAGAGCAGAATACCAAATGGAGATATGGGTCTCCTCCAAATTATGCTGTTGTGAACAAGCTCTTCGAAGATGAAAGAACCAAGGTCTTCCCTTTCTCTCTGCCTCGTGCTCCGTCTGTAGTTTGCTTGTTTATCTATTGATTTTACCAATCTTCAATCTGTTAATGGTAGGTATGGCCTCCTGGATCACTAGAAGAAAAGGTGCAGAACCTTGTAAAGACATGGGAAATGGAGCTTTTCCACAAGTCATCCCTCGATGATTTCAAATCAATGGATGTAAAGAAATTTGTATTTGGCTTAAATGGTAATGCTAGAAGTTGAAACAGGCTGTACATGTACAAATGTTTTGTCAATCATACTAAATTAAAGTTGTTGATTAATATGTTGTAAAGGTCGGAAACCTTTAAACATGATGGACATAAAGAAGCTTGGAGGAGGCTATAACCCACACTTGCAAACTTCCCTTCCTGAGGAATTCAGGTGTTACGATCCTGATAGGGAAACAGCAGAATCATCTCACAGGGCGTTCATAACAACGTTTCCAAGAGGCTTTGCCTTGGAGGTTCTTAAGGTTTATACAGGACCTCCAGAGATTGTCTACAAGTTCAGGCACTGGGGTTACAATGAAGGTCCTTTCAAGGGGCACGCCCCTACAGGAGAATTGATAGAGTTATATGGAATTGCCATCTTTGAGGTATTTATCTGAGAAAATTTTCCCCCTAGTTCTTTCTGTTTTCATGTAGATTATTAGACTGTACTATATGTTCTGAAATAGGTGGATGAAGAGATGAAAATTGTGAAAGTGGAGTTCTTTTACGATCGTGGAGAACTGCTTGGAGGTCTCGTGAAAGGTGCCACCATGGATAGTTCTGGATTGGAGGCAGCTTCAAGCTGTCCTATACTTAGGAACACAGGCTAGAATCTTTTGCAGAATTCTACAACTTTAATAAATACCCTTTTGGGGTTGCTCTTTGTCCGTTAGAATAAAATACTATCAGCAAATTGCAGGTTTAGTTTTGTGCAACATTTCTTCTTTCAACCTCCTCAGGTTCCAATATTGAAATGAACGAGATGGGATTTATGGGAAGGAGAGGCCTACCTCTGATTGTGTAGTTAAAGAAAATCTTTAGGCATGAAAAGGAAAAAATATAAAATCTCAAACATGTTTCTTATAAAAAATGCTGCACACTTCCTTGGCAATAAACAGGCTACTTAGATAATGGAATATGGCCCTCATTTTTCTTCCCTCCAGCAAGGAGTTCAATGTATGAAGAATTTGATTTTAACTAGAACTCCTAAATTATAGATCTTGTCAAGGTTCATTCCAACTTGCTAATTAAATTATTAACAGGTTGTCCTACTGGCAATTCCTCCAAAGTACTTTGATCATTTCTCATAGTTATGCCGGGTTATTGCTTCCAGTTAATTTGTAAATTGAATCGTGTTGTTATTTTTGAAGCAAAGAAAACTTTACTCATTGTTACATTTCTTAACATCAGAAATATTACAATTTAAAGCTTAATTAATAACTACCCACTAAAATTATGGTCCTAAGATTAAGCCATGACCACCAGCATGAATAACAAAAAAAATAACCAACACCAAAAAAACAAGAACAATATGAAACATTCAACTAAGCAACATTCATGAATCCACATTAGCAGTCCTAAATACATCTTCTAACACTCTTCCTTGCTTTAGGAGCTGCAAACACCAAGTTTTGTCCTCAAAAATTCAAACTTGCTAACTGGCAGTGGCTTGGTGAAAACATCTGCAACTTGATCTTCTGTTTTACAATAGACAAGAACAATAGCTCCATTTTTTGTACTTCCCTTAAGAAGAATAATTTAATACTAAAATGCTTAGTTTTCTCGTGAAACACAGGATTTTGAAAGATAGCAATGACAGCTTGGTTGTCAACAAGAATCTTTGTGCTTTCCTCCAGCTCTATGTTAAGATCGATAAAATCTTCCTTAGCCACAAAGCTTGATTAACAGTAGCTGTTGCAGCAATAAACTCTACTTCAGCTGTGGATTGAGCTACAATTTCTTGTTTTTTCGAGCTCCATGAAAAAACACCAGAACCAAGTGTGAAACAATAGCCTGAAGTGCTCTTCATATCATCAATGGAACCTCCCCAATCACTATCTAAGAAATCAACCAGCTTGAACTCTTTGCTCTTTGTGTATTTAATGCCAAAATCACTTATGCCTTTCATATATCTAAGCACTTTGCAGCCTTGAGATGCCATTCACTTCCACAATGCATAAACCGAGATAAAATGCTTACAGCATTCAAAATGTCAGGCCGAGTTGCTATGAGAAACATTAAGCAACCAATCAGGCTTCTGAAATATGCCTGATCAATCTTCTTTGTTCCATCTTCTTTACAAAGCTTTTTCTTTGAGTTCATTGGTGTGCTCATTTCTTTACATTTTTCGAGTTTAAACTTCTTCAGAATCTCCTTGGCATATTTCTTCTGACAGATGAAGACTTCATGTTCATTTTGTTTGATTTCCATTCCAAGAAAAAAGATCTTCAATCCAAGATCTGTCATTTCAAAAAACTCTATCATCTCTTGCTTAAACTTTTCCACAATACTTGTGTTGTTTCCTATCATAAGTAAGTCATCCACATATAGTGAGATGATAAGAATGTCAACTCCATTGTGCTTCACATATAATGTTGATTCAGATAAGCTTTTGATAAATCCCAAGTTTTGTAAATGTTCATCAATCCTGCTGTACCAAGCTCTTGGAGCTTGCTTCAATCCGTAAAGTGCCTTTTTAAGAAGATAAACCTTATCTTTTTCTCCTTCCTTAACATAGCTTTCTGGTTGCTCTACATAAATCTCCTCATGCAGAAAACCATTCAAGAATGCTGACTTGACATCTAATTGGTGCACTTTCCAATTCTTTTATGCTGTAACGACAAGTAAAAGCTTGATGGTGTCGAGTCTAGTGATTGGTGCGAAGGTATCTGAGTAGTCCACGTTGAATATTTGAGCATATCCTTTGACCACGAGTCTAGCTTTATACTTGTTGATTGAGCCATCAACATTAAGCTTGGTTCTGTACACCCATTTGACTCCAATTACTTTTCTGTTTTGGGGTCGATCAACCAACTCCCATGTTTCATTCCTTTCAATCATGAATAGCTCCTCCTTCATTGCAACAATCCAATTTTGATCCGTCTTGGCCTCTTCATAATTTGTAGGTTCACACACAGCAATATTGTATCTTTGATAAACATCAGAAAGTAGTCTTGTACCTCTTATAGGACTGTCATCCATAGAGTGCACACCACACACTTCAGGTGCTATCGGGCGCCTATTACCAAAGATGTTCCATAGATATAGCAAGCAGAAAGCTGTCAATGCTCCACATACACCACCGAAGATGAACACAACAAGCACTCTCCAAAAATAATTGCTACCCTTGTGCTCTTCTGTCAGAGGTTTGAGGTTCTTTGTAATAGCCTCAAGATCAAGTGGTTGAGAATGCATCCAAATTGAAACCTGCCTTAGCTTGTTTGCGATACTCAAAAGCCTATTGGAGTAATCTTTAATCGTCTTGGAGTCATTCATTCTTTAAAGTTCAAATTCCTTAATCAAGTTAAGGACTTGCATCCCTTTAATTCTTTCATCTCCTTCATATTTATTCTTGAGATAATCTCATATCTATTTTGCTGACTTCAGAGATATGATATGAGTGAAGATGATGGATGAGACTACAACAAACAAGCAGGCCTTTGTCTTTGATTTTTTTATCTTCTTTTCTTTCTGCGCTTTAATCTGTGCCATGGGGAGATTGTTTGGAAGTGCAAAAATTTCATAGTCTTCTTCCACTGCTTTCCAAAGATCTAAAGCTTCCAAGTATGTCTCCATACGTACTGCCCAAATCTGGTAGTTATCTCCATCGAACACCGTCAGAGCAATTACAGAGAAACTGGCTTCGACTTTCATGACGCATCAAATCTCTTAAGAAGATAGCTCTGATACCAAATGTTGTTATTTTTGAAGCAAAGAAAACTTTACTCACTGTTACATTTCTTAACATCAGAAACATTACAATTTAAAGCCTAATTAATAACTACCCATTAAAATCATGGTCCTAAGATTAAGCCATGACCACCAGCATGAATAACAAAAATAGTAACCAAAACCAAAAAAATAAGAACAATATGAAACATTCAACTAAGCAACATTCATGAATCCACATTAACAGTCTTAAACACATCTTCTAACAAATCATTAATTCACAAGTACATTTCATTCATTCTCTTCTATTTCGCAAGGTAAATCAACCACTGATAATATGATTCCCCAGAGTAGTGTCAAGCTAAAACATTTTGATCATATACTTTTCAATTGAAACGGAGCTATATATTATTATCTTATATCCCAAGTCATCCAAAAATTTGACAATTCCATATTATATATGCAACTTTTTATGTGGTTGGTGAAATAAACCACGAAACCTTAGCCCTTGGGCCTCAAAGATTTCCACTACCAACTTTGACCGGTCACTCACCATAAATAGTTACTTATCTACTGTAGATTAGTCTAGTACGTATAATAAAATGTTAAAAGAAATCACCACTACAAATCACTGGTGTACCAGAGTGCTTGAAATCAATCAAGAGCTTAACTTTTGTTGTTTGAGAAGATGGCTTCACCAATCATTGATCAAGAAGACGAGTACTGTTCTTCTTACATGAAGTGGGTGAAAAGAACACCAAGTGGAAGTTTGGTGCTCCTTCTAACTATGATATTGTTAACAAACTCTTTGAAGAAGGCAGAACTAAGTTTTCTTTTTCCTCTGTAATATGCATGTGTGTATATATATTAGTGTATATATATATATGTATTCAATTTGTCGGTGTAACTGCCTGATTTTTCATTTTGTTGATGACAGATATGGCCTCCCTGATCACTTGAAAAAATAGTCCAGAACCTTGTCAAGACATGGGAAATGAAAATGTTCCATAAGATATCCTCCGATGACTATAAATTTGTTAATCTAGAGAATTATATTGTCAACATAAATGGTATCACCATTTTGTTTTTGTATTTTTTTTATCTCGGATTTATTTTATTATTGTTCAAAGGCAAAAAGCCTTCGATCATAATATTTAAAAAGGAAACCTTTGACTTTAGAAGAAATTGAAAAGCTTGGGGGAGACTATAAGTCCTTTATGCAAACCTCTTTATAAGATAATATGACGGGCTATAACGCAGAAAAAGAATCTCATGTTGCCTTTAGAGTAGTATTTCTAAAATGGTTTATGTCATGATTCATATCAATTTGTGAAGTACTATCTATTTTAACTTCACTAGATCTCATAGTTTTATCCAAAAATAAATCTCACAAGTTGAAAGTGATATAAACATTTATATCCCAAAACCTATTTTAGTACATAGTCGATGTAAGATTCATGACTCCTCTAACATCTTACCCATTCCAACTAGGGCAATTATATCTTTTCCCATTCTAACTTTTGAAGTATTAATCTCCCTAAGTCTCATAGTTTTATCTTACAAAAAGAACCTCATAAGATGTAAGATTAATAACTACTTTCATGAACAATAACATCCTTCCCATTCCAATTAGGACAATGACATCTTCTCACACTCCAACTTATGAGGCATTATCCTTTGATCCCATTGAGTCTTACGATTTTATCTCATAAAAGAAACCTCACAAGTTGCAAGTGATATAAACATTTATATCCAAAACCTACTTTAGCACACAATCGACTTGTGAGGTATCATCCACTGATCCCATTGAGTCTCATAATTTTATCTCACAAAAGTAACTTACATCTTGCGAAAGTGGTATAAACATTTATATCCCAAAACCTACTATAGTACATAATTTACTTGTGATGTATTGTTCGTTGATCCTATTGAACTCATGGTTTTATCTCACAAAAAAAACCTCACAAGATGTAGGATTCATGACTCTTCTAATAGACAATAACATCCTCTCCCATTCCAACTAAGACAATATGACATATTTCCTAACTCCAACTTGTGAGACATTATTCACTAATTTTATTGGATCCCATGGTTTTATCCCATAAAAAAAAACCTTACAAGTTAAAAAGTGGTATAAACATTTATATCCCAAAACCTACTTTAGTATACAACCGATGTGGAATTCATGATTTCTCACTAGGACAATAACATCATTCCTATTCCAACTAGGACAATAATATCATCTTGCACTTTAACGAGAGTTCACTGTTCTCGGTGAGACAATGACATCATCTCTTATTTTAACGAGAGTCTATTATTCTCGGTGGCACATCTAATACCCATAAAACTGATTCTAATATCAAATGTTATTATCCATACCAACTTCTAAGGTATTGTCCACTTTTGCCTTGTTAGGCCTTATGATTTTATCTCACAAAAATGCATCACAAATTAAAGATAATATGAGCATTTATATCCCAAGACTAATTCTAATACACATCCAATGTGGGATTTATTGTTCTTTTCTAGGACCATGATATCTTTTCCAACTCTAACGAAAGTCCACTGTCATCGATAACACATTGCTAGTATCCCAAAGCTGGCTCTGATACCAAATGACATTTGGCTTTATGTCATGTCCTGAAACCAATATGCAACATGGTCATATTACTTTAAAGTAAAACCTCAAAGTAATATGAAACATTTTTCACAATCATTAAAAAATTCTCAAATAAAGTAATATTTTTAAATTTTTGTATCTATAAACCAACTAAATAACAAATTTCTAAAAAATCAGTGTCAAATAATACAACTAAAAAATAATTATTTCATAAACTCTTATTTGCTAAATAATGTCTTCATTGCCCAGAGTCTTCTAGCTTCTCACAAGACTAAAGCATACTTATCATTTTAATCATCTATAAAAGGAAAGTAAAAAGAAAATGAGTAAATCACAACTCAACAAGTATAACCTCACACACCTTACTAGATCAATTATTATTTTTATGCATACATATAACTTATTTAGAAACATCATTCAATTATGCTTCCAAAACATTTAAGTAAACATTTAAAAAATTGATATCATATCAAACATTTCATCAATTACAAATCATAAATTATAGTCAACTACATGCTTTATACAAATCAGGGATCAATCTTTAAAATCATAAATCATCATTATCATCTGTTCATCATTAACTACAATCACTAATATAACCTGTGATAATGGTCATATTGATAATTTCATCCTTATGATCATTGCTAACTATTATAACCCATTAGCTAAAATTGTAAAACTAGTTTTGGTGTCGATGATCCCACTTTTCCAAATATGTAAATTCATAGTCATCACAAAATCATTATGTAAGAAAAAATCAATTTATCATTCCATTCATAAGCAAAATCCATTATTTATATAGTAAAATGAAAAATAATCAAATGCTTAATCCTATTTTCATATATCAAAAATAAAAAAAAAACTTTCACGCATTTAAAACATATATATGTGTAGGTTCAAAAATAAGTAAAGTGTATGAAATTCTACTTACCTCTTTTCAATTTCATCACCTACTTTTTTTCCCAAAATAATTAACGACATATTCAAGGTCATTCCAACATATTGAAAATTAATCAACCTTTTGTAGATACGCAATTTTATTTGGACAAATTGTAACAAATTATGATGTTTTTAAAGTTCGACTCAATTTGAATCCAGCATTGATAAATTTTTGAAATTGAATTCAGGATTAATTTGACCAAAATGCACCATAATCAAACTTGATCAAACAAAGTCAAATTTAGTTAAAATCGATCAAATTTGGTCAAATTAAGGTCAACTCTTGAAACTCACAATCGAATGGGATTATTAAGGTTTACGATTAATAAATTTGTGATTTTGATACATTCAATTATGATGTTTTTAAAGTTCGACTCAATTTGAATCCAGCATTGATAAATTTTTGAAATTGAATTCAGGATTAATTTGACCAAAATGCACCATAATCAAACTTGATCAAACAAAGTCAAATTTAGTTAAAATCAATCAAATTTGATCAAATTAAGGTCAACTCTTGGAACTCACAATCGAATGGGATTATTAAGGTTTACAATTAATAAATTTGTGATTTTGATACATTAAAAACTTGATTGCGCTTCGAAATGAGTAACATTATCAAAATATCCTTTAAGAATATTTTTGTAATTTAATATTTTCAATGTCTGTTATTCGTGAAAACCTCCATATCATATTTTGATATAATTTCGTGATATTTTATATATTAAAACCTTGATTATACTTTAAAAAGATTGAAATTATTGAAATACTATTTATGATATTTTTATAATTTGAATTTTTCAATCACGATTTTTCGTAAAAAAACTTCATATTATAATTAAATATTATTTTTAAATTTTTGATATATTAAAAATTTTGATCACAACTTAAAAGATATAAAATTATTAAAATACCTTTTAAAAATATTTTCAGGTATTATTACACCATCAGTATCAATTTTCTTACCTACCATTTCTTTCATAAAAAAATCCAACAGTAACTGACTAATATTCATGGCTGTGCCAAGGAAGTCAAAACCTAAACCAAAATTGGTTATCGCGACACACGGAGCTTGGGTAGGTGGTGGCGGGAGAGGTGTTGCATACACAAATGGGCTTTCTTTATTGTCATTGGAGAAGAGCTGATGGGTTTTTTCGGGAGATGGAAATGGAAGCAAATTAAATAATGAAAATAGTTTAATTTCTTTTTCAAAAAAATTCCTTCTTGTTCAGGGAAGGAAATCATGGAGAGTGGTGCCAGAGGCCGCAACCATAGTGTAGAATTTTGGATTCTCAAGATGCTTTGAGTTGAATCTAAAATTAATGAGAAAGAATTTGGGATGAAAAATAATTCGTGCTTAACGAGATTTAATTAATATGATGTGATAAGGTTGAATTTATTTAAAATTAGAAATTATGTCAATCGATTTCTTTTTTTTTTAAGATCATATTTAGGTTAGAATCGAATTTTTAAGCAACATTACCTTGACCTAAATATATATAAAAATATTTTTTATTATTTATTTAATTTTATATATTCTAATAAAAAAATTTATTTAATATTTTAATTTAAGATATTAACTTAATAAAAATATTATATTCATATATAATTAAATTATAATTTAAATTAAAAAATAATATTTTATAAATATTATATTAAATTAAAATTATTAAATTAATTTCAAATTGATTGCAGATTATGAATATATAAATTAAGTAAGATATAAAAAAATAATATTTTAATATCAATCAATTTGGATATAAATATTAAAGGAGCGAGTCGAGTAAAAATTTATTTTGACTCAATCCATTATCATTCTTAGAGAGAATGAGTATTTTAGAAAAAGAACCGATAAAAAAAAAAAAAAAGAAAGGGAGAAGAAAATGAGTGAAAAAATAAAAATTTCATTTATTATTTATTATTTAATTGTTTTTTAACATTTATAAATTTTTTTATCATCTGTTAAAGTTAATTATGCATGTATATCTTATGCGTCAAAAGTTTTTATTTAAGTAATCTAAAAATATCAAATGAAATATTATATACTTAATAGGGATTTGGGATTTGACTTAAGAATCCTAAATTGAAAATTTAGGCTTGATTGAATGAATGGAAGGATCCTGGTAACAGGGAATAGAACCAGGCATGGGGAACACTTTGCACTTTAATGCGTCAGTGGCTCCATTGAGATCCACACAGATTTGACGTAATAAATATGGTCCAAGGGATCGGTTTACCATCATAACGTTCCTTTTTGGAGTTTGAAAGAAGGGTATCTTGCTGTTGGATTTCCCGGGTAAGTGGATTATATCCATCAAGGTGATCCTAGATTTTTTCCTTTCTTTTTTTTTTTTTGAGTTGCTGCTCGTATTTCATGCCTGCCTTGCAGTTCTCTGTGAAACTTAGAACATTTTGTGGCCATTGTCTTTGAATAAGTTGAGTGTTTCATCTGTTTGTATTTGTTGGTTTTTGTGTGATTACCGTTCCCCTTCTTAGTTGTAGAAATGGAAGAACCTTGGGAACGTTGGTCTGATCATGATGTTGGTTAGCGTGCAACGGTTCTGTTCTCTCATGATCATGCTCTGAAAACCTCTGCTGGACTAATTTTGCCAATACTTGGATTTGCTAGAGAAGTTTGTGATTTCGAGAGATGATGCAAAATAACATCCTAGGCCGATGACAAAACAAAATAAAACTAACCATTTGGACGAAAAGGCTTAGCAATGTGATCTCATCATAGTATAACATAAGCAAGCAAAATGACAAAAATTCATCTTCTCCTTTCTATTAATTTTGTAATTGAAATTTTATTTAACAAGAATTTATATTATGTTGTCAAGTGTCCGTTTGGAGGTCTAGGTGGTGCAAGTATAGGATATCAAGAGAAGTACTATGCCCATGGGAGAGAACCTTGATAAGGAGAAGTCCCACAGTATCTAAACAGACCTTCAATTTCGGGGCATCCATTGGGATATGGGATAGACCGATGGAAAGGATCACGGCCTACTTTTTTCCTCTTAAGTGATCCCATACATCCATATGGATCTTGTTGAAATTGAGTCCTCACCAATGCCTCACCTTTCAAAGCTGCTTCTTTCGAAGTTGATGAAGCTGGGGTGCCTTTGTAGAAGAATCGAGACTCAGGAAACCCAATTGCAGTGCGATGCAAGTGTGCAAACCTCTCTTCCTTGAAATCATAACTTACAACCTGGTCCGAATACAATAGGATTAGTATAGATTTTCTTTCCAAAACTGGAGAAGCAAAAAGCATTTGTTCTAAATAAAGAACTAGCAAGTAGATATTTAAAAAATTAAAATAAAAAATAAAAAACAAGCCTAGTTTGAGGTAACATGTCTGGGAAACCAATGGGCTTCCCTCATCTTCATCATAGATGTACAAATGCAGAGCAAGCCACTACTAGTACAAACAGTAAGTACACTATTGAGTTCAAGTTTTTGATCAATATTTCTTTATGCCTCAAAATTATTCTTTGTCACATTAGAGATTAGTTGATGCAAAACATCCATCATCTGGTACTTGACAGATGGGAAGAACATGTAAAAAGCTTTATTGTGGAGTGATGTATACTATAGCTGATGCCTAAGGGCACATGTCAAACAATTTTTCCAAACAAGTGAAGATTTGTTGTGATTTAGACCTTAATCCAAACAATTAATTTGAAGCAGAAGACAATAAAAATAACCAACTTAGAAAAAGATTGATCAACCCTAGGCAACAGCCATTCAAGAAACTCAAAAATAAAGAAACGAAACAGTAAAGAGAAAACACAAACAATACACACAGTTTGGGAATCTATTCCTTACATCCACTGGGGCTTCAAAGAAAAAATTGACTATCAAAGAACAGAAATTACAATGGTCAAACTCTCCCCAAAACCCAACTTTCAATCCCTTGTTACTTATGTGAGATATCTGTGTTTCCCACCTTGATGGTGGTTATGCAACTAGACCACAAAACTCAAGCGCAAGACCTCTTAAAACTCAAAGCTCCCTAAACTTTGTCCTCTTTCCTTTTTCTTTTTTCTTTCTGTCAAGAACCTCAACCCTAAATCTCCCTTCTATCTTCACACATTTTCATTTCATTTCCCAAATTCTATTTCCTTTCCAAACTACCCTTAGATCAAGATACAAGGATTAAAGGAGCAAGGGCATAAAGGAGAAAACAAGTGAGACAGAAATTGAAAAAGATAATAAATGAAAAAGGTAGGGGGGCGTGATTACTGAGTTAAGGAACTGAAATTTTTAGCCATTTATGAGATTGCAATGTAAGATCCTTCTTTGTCCCAAGGATGTGACAAAAGAATGTAAGACCAAGGAGGTAGTCAAGGTCCCAAGGAGTTGTTTGCACGATAAGACACCATGGAGTTAGCAGGAAGGTGGAGTTTGTGAAAGAGTGTAGTAGTGAAGGAACTCTACATTCTGTCTCTTGGTTGTAAATGAGTGTGTTTTTTGTCAACATAATATATACACATACATATATATATTATGAGCTTAACTTTGATGTGGGTTCAGCTTAGGACAATTAGTATTTTGTTTCTATAAATTGGACTAGTACAAACGGTTCATCTAAGTGTATCAAGCTTTTCAGATTTTTTACTAACCTTCATAACTAGTACTATATTTCTTATAATTTAAGAGCCCACTCATCCCTATCCTATTTTTTAGATGGATTGGGTTCCTTTCAGTTGCTTTTCCATAGATCCATCATAACTATTCACATGTATTTTGTGGAAGTCATACTAGTGAGTGGTGATTAAAGTTATACTCAAAAAGAATGGACAGAAAAGTAACAGGCCGGACCATTTTTGGATATCTTCTAGCAAAATCTTGGAATCTGAAATTTTTTACAAAAGGCAAATTAGACATGCAGACGAACACCTGTATCTGACATTCATACCCGAGTCCATGTAACGGAGAAGTTGGTTATTTTGATTGTCTTCCACTGCAACTTAGTGCTTATGTTTTGCCATTTTGTACCAAGAGTAGAATCATACGTTTAACAAAAAGTAAAAATTATTCACTGATTACCTTCCAGTTTATTCTTTCATCCTATCTAAAAAAGCCATTAGGAGGGAAGAAGAGGGGGGAGGAAGAAATAAAAGTAAGAAAGACCAGAAAACACAGAACGGTTCAAGTAGGAATTGCTTACAGTTATGTTGTGTGGGTATGTCCCACTAAGCTCTCGAAACCGACAAACACTAAAGAGAAGATTCTCAAAGCTATCTCTTGCATGCTCCTCTGTTAATGCCCTCCACTTCACACTTTCTTCCTTACCTGAAGAACAATCAAATACAATAACAATGACACTCAGTTGATTCAAAGCTTTCATGCTGCAGAAACTATTTCACGGAATAAAGACAGGAAAGAAGCAAACTCATAGAACTATACCAGGGAGTGGAAATTGCAGTGACAAACTCATTGTTAATAGATCAAATGATCAAGGGAGTTCTTCAATGCCGTAAGGCATCATTATAAACATACAACTAGCAATTAATCAGCAAAAGTGCCTTAAGGCATAATTATAAACATATAATTGCCATTAATCAGCAACAACAGCTTCACAAAGACAACATGATATTAATTCATAATACGATATTGCTGGTATCCCTTATTGTAACCCCTGTATGATGGAATGAAGCAGAATGAGAGTAATACCCATAGCTCCAGTGATTTAATCACCAACTGCTTAATGAAAGAGCAAGAAAGCATTTCATGCTTCATTTCTAACTTTTAATGATAATTGGAGTCAGGAAAGTATGACAGATTGCAGTTACATTTTTAAAAGTTCTTCCTCATTTCTATTGTTGCTTAGATTTTTTGTCCTTGAATTTTTCCCTTCAAAAACGAAAGAAAAGAAGCCCCAAATCAAGAGAAACTTATCTCACTTGCAACACTTCTGTTGCAAACTTAGAACATCCTGGAGATTTGTTATTAACTGGCACTAATTTTACTGTTTCAAATATGCTGTTGGGTTTACTTCTCACTCCAGAGTGGCTACAACTGATGCTTTTATGCGCTTACAGTAAATCAAACTTGGCAGCCTCCATGTTGTGGGTAATCTTCAACAACAATAGCCTTAAGTCTACTTCCTCTGCCTCTTGACTAAATTGCACAGACCCACACAACTTCTCATCCCCTCACCTTGCATTCAATAATTTTTTTCTCCAAACCTTCATCCTCATCCCCATCTCTCAGTTCTCTTTTTTTTCTGGTGTGTGCTATCTGCTCGTCTCCGTCAACCTCAAGTCTCACTCTCATTTTTGTCTCTCATTTTAAGTCCCAGCAACTCCTCCCCCCTTCTACCAATGCACCATAGCCCAATTCAATCCCAAACACACAAAATCATGACATATTTGGAAATTAAAAAAAAGGTAATTTGAGTGCTGAATTAATTGCTTACCTTAAACTGCATATACTTGATCTTGATTGAAGTTAAATTTGAGAGAATAGATATTTTTGGAAGTTTAAGTTTTGTGAGTTTTTTTTTCTTGAATTTGTAAATTGATGTTTATTTTCTTTTTTGCTATTTTTATTTTAAGTTTTTAAAGAGAATCAAATGAAAAAAATTTTTTTTGAATTTTTGAATGAAAAACGGAGTAGCGGGCAATAATAGACCACTATTGCCGCTATTCAACGTTACACTGCAATTCGCAACCGCGATATGTCCGCTATATACGAGATTCAAATTCTCTCCCATTTTTTCTTCAATAGCGGTGGCAGATAATGGCGCGACCGCGAAATAGAGGTCGCTATACCGCTATCCGACCGCTATTTAAATCTTTGGCATTAACAATAGAAATGAAAAGCTAGATCTACTTGCCCACCAAATTTTCATCCAATTAGTAACGATGAAGCATACACATTGAAATGCGAATATATCAGACAGGATAATTATGTTGAGTTCCCTAAATAAGACCTCAAACCCATGAAATAAAGACATCCACAAGAGAACATGAACACCCACAAAAGGGGCCAAATTGAATGAAAACACAAGCTAACAGCTCACATGAGAGAAGTTGATTTCATACATCAGTTTCCATGTAAATATGGAGGACTTTCTTTAGGAGTGGAATGAAATCGCTAGCATGTATACTGGTATGTCCTACTAGTCGAAAGGAGTAGCTTAACTGGTATCCAGTCTAACAGTGTTACCACCATCAATATATTCAAACGTTTTATAAATATGTCACTGAATTTGGTGCTAACTCTTGTCTAACTAGTACTCTTACAAACTCAATCAAACCACAAGTTTCGTCAGCCCCAAAAATATTCCTGTTGATATTCTGGTGGAAAAGGCCTCTTGCTAATTGAACTCTCACTAGTGTCCTAAAAAAGTAGTGAATTTGGATTTAAAGAACCATGAACTTGCTAGAACTAAATCTAGTGATCCTCATCAAATCAGTAAGCTTGACATTGCATAGAAAAACAACAAATATATAGAAAGAATGATCACGTAAACAATCAGCAGAATCGTCCTATATTGTTAAGTTTACATCTCATCGTTCAAAAACTGGAACATTTGAACTAGAAATGAGGCATGGCAGAACAGCATATAGTCAGGAAAATAAAGGATTGAATAAGTGAACATACCAAACCATGCTTTGGATTCAGCAACTGTCCAATAACTCTGTGCCTCACTTCGAGGACCAGCATCTTTCCGAGTCTCTCCACCACTAAACAGAAGCAAAGCCTCATCATCTCGTGCCGTACTTTCTATCCCTTCCTTTATGTGACCCAAAAAAGTAGCAGCCTGGCCTGGATTCTTCTGATAAGACTCCAAAAACCAAGAATCCTCCTTATCAACTTTCCCACAACTACTGCTTGTATAAACAGAATGGCCAGCAACCATTACAAGATTCTTAAGCTTGGCAAATGGATAATTATTGTTGAATCCATCATCAAGTTTCCTATAATTACTCAGCATCCTATAGTGGTGCTGATATAAAGATAAAACTATGAGGATTGTGACCCCAAATGACAAGGAAATGAAGAAAACAAGAAGTGGATGTAGCTTGTAATAGTAATGAAGGCGGTTAGCAAAGGACTTAATCATTCTACCAGGGTAAAATGGTGAATTTCTAGATCTTCTTGTTCTTTTGATAGTCCCTGATTCTATATCAAAGTCACCCCTAGGGTATGCATTGAAGGACTTAGGACTATTTGACCCAAATGGATAATTATTCATGATCATGCAAATCCAGCCGGAAGGCTTCGAGATTTATGTAAATTTAGCATACCCAGATAGGTAATTGGACAGACCAACGAATAAAGATCATGACTTTCGATTCAATTCCAGAAAGTCGAGCATAAAATACTTTCAGGAAAGATCTTGATCAATCAATGTTGCTTGCAGCTTAGGAAAGCAGAAATGAATTTTAAGGCAGATAAATAAAATGGGCTTTGGTTGTCTTTGAATTCTATAAGAGTTGAACGAAAACCTGAGAGGTAGAGGGAGTACACTCATCAGAAACCTGGCAGGAGAATTTTAAAGATCTAGATTGGTGGAGAGGTTTAACTTCTAGTTTTAAAGAGACTACTTGTTTATTTGTTCCAAGGAGATAGATAAAAAGATGGTAGAAAATCAGATCCAGAATTTCGGAGAATTATAAATGTATTCGGCTTGGGAGCTTGGAACGTTGACATGGTTCACGGTCGGGGAAAGAGTCAGGGAGGAAGACTAACAACAGGGACTGGATATTTGGGTTGCGTTTTTGAGGCCCAAAACAGGATTCATTTATTTTCTCAAAGTGTTTGTTTATCAAGGTGGCCTGGGCTCCAATACAATTGAGGTAAACAAAATAGATACAATTAAGGGTGAGCAAAAGTCAAAATTCATTTGATCAAAATTGATTTGATCGATTGAAATAGAATGAATTTAATTAATTTATTTTATTTTAGTTATAATTAATTTTTTAAATTAATTAAATTAATTAATTTAGTTAATTTTTTATTTTTAAAAGTAATGATTAAATTGATTAAATTAATCGAATTTTTAGTAAGTAAAAGTTAAAAATTTAGATAAATATTTATATTTATTTTTTTATAAAATATTATTAAAATTATTAAATTTTTTAGTGATTTAATTTGAATAATATTTAAATTTAAATTTATTTAATTAAATTTATAATTAAATAATAATTCATAATATGAAAAAAATATAAAATTTTGATTATTTAATCGAATAACTTAACCGAATTATTTTAATCGATTTAATTATAATAAATTATGTAAAAAAATTTGATCGATTAAATTATTTATTTAATAAAAAGCAATTAAATTGATTATTGATTTTTTAAATCAAGCTCATTGAATTGATCAATTGTTCATTCCTAATTACAATTTTAGCCCAAATTCGAAGTTTGGGTTTTGTTTGTGCCTAACCTGCTAAACATACCAAGGAAAAAAACCTCTTTTTCTTAAAAAAAAAAAAAAGGAAAATCCTTTTAAATTGGTATCGTACTATTTAAAAAAAATTTTCCAACATGGGCTTGGATTTTTAAGTTTTTTTTTTAATTCATGTTTATTATTTCTCACCCTCTCAATCCATTGTTTTTTAGTTTTTCAATCAAATATACTTAGCATTCACTATTTGCATGTAAATTTGATTCACATTATAGGTCTGACTTAGAGAACAAATTTCTTAAAATAAATTTCTTCCACCTATTAGGATTATTAACACGGAAAAAGGATGATACAGTCTCAGGACTATCGTACCTTTGGCCCTTTCCATTTAATTTTCTGGCAGTGGTCTCGCATTTTATCTTAATTGAAACCAGTTAACAGTAATACTAAATAAATTGGAGATTGGTCTATTAACCATGGAGCATTCACTATATCTATTAGACTAAAATGAATTTTCATAAAAACAAGAAGATGCGAGAAATGAAAATTGTTAGCAATTGACTCAGGTGCCATTGATCTTACCTATTTTTCCGGGACTTGGAAATGGGCATCAGATATGGGTTTTTGTCTGATTCAGTTTTTTGAAATTTTTTTAATATATTTGAAAGTTTAGATGCTTCAAGTTAAACTTGAAAAGGAAGGGTGGGTGCGTGCAACTTAATGACTGCTTTTGTACTTTCCATGATGAGAGCTCTAGCAATTTTACAAAAATAGCCGGCAGAGGCTTGCCAAATGAATGGCTTATCTCTGTCTCCCCCGTTTGAAATAAATGTCATTTACATGAACAGAAACCATGCATTGGAAATACCGTTAAAATGGATAAATTTAATTATCATCAAATGTCTCATCCTTTTGTTTGTTTGTAATTCTGTTTCCAACTTTTGTTACGGTGGCTACTGGCTTCATGGACTTTCCATGCAATTAGTAGTATAAAGCTAATATAATTGAGGAGATTTTTTTTTTTTTAATTTATAATCTACTCTTATATAATTAAGGAGATACTTTTTAAAAAATTTATAATTTACCCTTAACTTTTTTACCTTAAAATTTATTTTAAAAAAAATATTACACACAAATTCTTTCAAACTTGTAATTTTCAAATGCTCACTCTAATTAATTTGCAAGGAGATATTTTTATTACCAGGGAAAGTTTAATCACGTAAAAGGAGGAGTGGCACGCCATGGTAGCATGAAAATAATGTGCTTTTGCCAGTGAGCTGCGGTACAATTCTATTTCTGTCCAGGATCTATAAAATTCATTTAATCCTGAATGAGCTGTTCTTGGAAAAGTTGGCCTATGGCCAAAACTTTGGGAAGGAACAACTGTACATAGAAGTATGCTAAGAGATGAGCTAAGACAAAAAAAAAAAAAGTAAATCAATCAAATATTGAATCAAACTGTTTCCATATAACAATTTTCTTTCTTCTTTTTCTCGGCAAAACCTTTCCTGGAAACTAGCTTCTTCATCAACCATGACAGGCCCAAGTACTGATGCAGAAAAGCACTCTGTAAGGTTTGTTCATGCAAGTTCGGAATCAAGCAGGCTTCTTTCTTCGGCAAGCAAACGGAACTCTATAGAATTTGACTTCAATGTTCGACCAAGCTCCTCAACCGGCAATGGTTCCCTTCCCTCTCCGTACTCTAAATCCTATGATTATGAGCTTGTCATCACAGATAAAACATACTACAAACGCTTTCTCTATATTTCATTGACTGTAGCTTTTGTTATCCTAGCAATTGGTCTGCTACCGCACTTTTTACCTCACAAGAATAATCAACATGGACCATCAAAGAATCTCACTCTTGCAGTTAACCAAGCTATAACATTCTTTGATGCACAAAAGTGTAAGATTCTGAATCTTTGTGTGTTATGTTGAAGTTAAGATCATTTTTTTTGTAGATTATCATTCATTGATATCCATGCATACTCTGTACCTTTTTTTTTTCTGCAGCTGGGAATTATCCTAGTAATAGTCCAATAAGATTTCGAGGACGTTCAGGATTGCAAGATGGGAATTTAAGCAATACGCCAGCTGATCTTGTGGGTGGATTTTATGATTCTGGAAACAACATTAAGTTTACTTTCCCTACAGCTTATACCATCACCCTGTTGAGTTGGTCGGTGATCGAATACCATCAAAAATATGCAGATATAGGTGAGCTTGGGCATATAAAAGATGTTATCAAATGGGGCAGTGACTACTTGCTCAAGGTCTTTATTGCTCCAAATGCAACTTCTGATCCCACCATCTTGTATTCACAGGCAAGCCTTCTATAAATTATGAGCCTCAAACTTGTAGTCTTAACTCTTAATTGTAATGACAAAATTGGATTTTTGTGTCATTTGATATTGCTTTCTGTGATGTGCCTTTAGGTTGGAAGTGCTGGTAATGACAGTCAAAATTCAGTCCCTAATGACATAAATTGCTGGCAAAGGCCCGAAGAAATGAGCTATAAGAGGCCTGTTTCAGTTTGTGATGCGACAGCTTCTGATTTAGCAGGGGAAATTGTTGCAGCACTAGCGGCTGCTTCAATAGTATTCAAAGAAGAGAATGAATACTCGCAAGGATTAATTAAAGCAGCGAAGAAGTTATATGAGATTACAGAAAAGGAAGACCAGATTCACAAAGCTGCAACTTACACCACTATTGATGCTTGTGGAGGTGAAGCAAGAAAGTTTTATAACTCATCCGGGTACAAAGATGAGTTGGTCTGGGGAGAAACTTGGTTGTTCTTTGCCACTGGGAACTATACTTATCTCGACTATGCCACCACAAACTTTGCTTCAGCAGCTAACAATGAAACAATAGATGACAAAGGGATCTTCTATTGGAATAATAAGCTCACTGCCAATACGGTAAACTTAGTAAAAACCTTTTATGCTGTTTTTATAAGAATCAATTTTCTATATTTGGCGCATCAATGGATTTTAAATTCATTTCCATGTATATTTGCTCTGTAGGTTTTGTTAACAAGACTTCGTTTCTTTCGTGATCTTGGATTTCCCTATGAAGAAGCGTTGGGAATATCGTCCAACATGACTGATCATATTATGTGTTCTTATCTTTCAGAACAAAACTTCTATAGAACACCAGGCAAATATTTTCAATGGATGAATCTTTCATGTATTTTTATGCAAATGGATGCATGCTTTCTGGAGTCATTTAATCATCTATGATCTTCTGTGACCTTATCGTAGGTGGATTGATCCTCTTAAGGCCTGATTATAGCGGACCACTCCAGTTTGCAGCAACAGCATCTTTCTTGAGTAAATTATACAATGATTACCTTACTCTTCTTCATAGATCTGGTTGGAATTGCACCAATGATGCTTTTTCTTTGGAAATGTTACAGAGCTTTTCCACTTCTCAGGCAAGTCTATATCTGTCAATAACAAGTATGAAGATCCTAATCATTCAATTAAAAAAGGCGTCGTTTAATACTCATACAGGTATTATTTCATCATTTATGCAGGTGAATTACATTTTAGGAGATAACCCCAGGAAGATGAGTTACATGGTTGGCTTTGGAGATCACTATCCAACACAAGTTCACCACAGGAGTGCATCAATTCCTTGGGATGGTCAATATTACTCTTGTGATGAAGGTGATAGATGGCTACACTCTCAGGATCGAAATCCAAATATACTTTTGGGAGCAATGGTAGCTGGACCAGATCAATTTGATGATTTCTCTGATGAAAGGGACAAGCCATGGTTCACAGAACCAAGCATAGCAAGCAATGCTGGTTTGGTTGCAGCGCTCATCGCACATCTTGACCCTCCTCGCATTTCTGCTGCTTCTAAAGGCCCTAATTTGGGCCTCGACCTGATGGGAATCTTTGAAAAAGTTCATTTGGATTCTTAAGTTCCTTAACAGCATCATACTCCCATGAAGTTCCAATGGTGTAGGAGAAATTCTGTTGCTAACACTAGGGAAAATAGGTTTTGACCTTGAACAAGTTTCCTTGAGCACAGTTACACATTCTCTTTTTGTAATTGCTAATTGATCAAGAGATAAGGCAAGGAAACAAATAATGTGCATAACCTAAATTGATGCTCTTGTGTTTCAAATTGTCTGCTAATAAAAGTGGTAGCTGCTCCAAGGCTCATATCACTTCTTGACATTCCATTCTGTCATTCTTAAAATTACTTCCAAAGTTTGTCCTTGAAAGGGTTTAGAATGGGAATAAATGCTGTGCTTGAACAGTTGTGCTCTCAGGTTTCCCAGTTAGTTTTTACTTGGTTAGGCCTCCAAACTACCATATTAGTACACATACATGCTTAATGGGGCCAATTCAAGACTAAAATAAATTGGTTGTTTCCCTGATGATGCAAACATTTGTACAAAGAGTAGAAGAGCTTTTTAGAGAATCCTCTGTACATTAGATGTCTAGATACATTAGAAAAAGTAGCTGTTACAGCAGATTTTGCTTACAACTTAGAAGAAAATTTACAGATGTATATTTCCAGCAAAAGGAAATGGGATTGGAGAAGACTACAAGCTGTAAGAAAGCCAAGCTCCATCTGTTTGTTCTTGCCTTTTTCTTCCCCAGGTATTCTCCTCAGGTAGACTTTAACCTATCTAATCGATAAAATCTCTGCATAATTAAGAAAACAAGCATTAAACAACGAACTAGAAGCTGGATAATACATTAAGATTGACAAATATTCTCAACAGGATAGAATGGATCTCTTCTAGTAAAGGAACAAGTAATGAAATTAAGGTCTGCATATCATCTTTAAGGTTGTCATAATTTTGATCTTTTGTCATGAGGAGACTGATGAATGTTTTGTTATCAGGGACGAGTTTTAGAGCCACCTGCAAACTTTACAGATGTTAGTTCATGATGAAGACTAGTAGTAAGTTAAGGCAATGTTGTAGTACTATGGAACAATGCTTGAACATTGCTTAAAGAATATGACAATTGACGGCTTATATAATGCGTCAATGAAACAATGGTAGTCAAGACAGAATTGTAGGCCGTCCGGGAATATTATGCCTATGCTAAAATTTAGCCTCAGATCCTGTCATCTAATGAAATTATGCTTTTTCTTGAATAAGCGGGAATTGGTAAAAAAAAAAAAAAGAGAACTGCTAAATCATTATCACTTGAGACTCATATGTAGTAAAATCTGAGGGAAAATTTGTTGCAAAGGAGCAGGAATGCCTAAATACCTTAAAAGCAGCCGAAGAAATCCATCCATGCCATTGCTTCATGGTAATATTATAGGATTCTTCAACTGCTTGTTCCATGCTCTCCCCCGGATCCTTCACCATTCTTTGTAACAAAGCTACCATAAAATTCATTGACCTGAAGAGGGAAACAAGTTTAATTGCTTTCAATTAAATATTTTTCACTACTTACTATCAGAATAACTTATTGATATTAAACTATTAGCATAACTTAATGATATTAGACCAAGAGCAAAAAGTATGTCTATGTGTCTTCAAGTGTGCTCATAAAAGTTGTTAAGAATTGAAACCAAAGACTAGCTAGCGGGTTTCCATTTTCCCGGGGAAAAGCTTTGGTTCTGTACTCATAATCATCTCTACTTTTTTGCAAGTGCCAATGACGCATGTCAAGAGTTTCATAATGGCATGAACCACATCTTTTTACCCACATTTTTTTGGTAAACAAAAGTTTGAGTAAAGGAAGATTTTTCCATTCCAGGTTTAGGGCAGATTGCAAGTTTAAAATCAAACTTACATTGAATTTACAAATCGCTTATTAAAAGAGATTATTGACGGTGAAACTTAAACGTAAATACTAAATATTCGAATCTTATAATTCAAGTTTGCTAAAGTATGAATGGGGGGAAAGACATAACAAACAGAATATTCTTTTGAAACTTCAACTAGGACAATGAAAATTGGCAAAAGAACAAAAATAATTTCTTGTAGTAAAAGACAAATCATAACACAGTAATGACCTATAACAGAGAAAATCAAAGATGGCAGACCCTGACTTTTCATTAAACTTTGATATGTCAACCATGACAGTATCACTGGATTCAAAGCACAGAAAACAAAGCCGCATCTACTGTGTAAGTTAGATTATCAAAGAAAAGCTTTATTTACATCTGTTAACCTTGTTGCTGGCAATGATTAAATGGGAATATCTTTAGAGAACTGTCAGTTCATATATAATCCGTTTACCTGGTAAGCCACAGAAAGGCTCTACTGCAGCTGGTACCCTTTCTTGCATTGCATTCACTGTCTTCTTTTTTCAACATCTCAATCAAATTTGAATACTTTGTCGGATCGGATTCGCAAAGAATCTCCAATCTCTAAAAAATAAAGAGAAAAGAAGAGAAAGGTAGTTCCATGAATGTTCAAATAATCAAGAAAATGACCAAATATATATATATATATATATATGTCCCTACATGGACAGGGATGGCCATGGAAAAATTGGTGAAACGACAAAAATAAAGCAATAAGTGCAAGGTTTGCTGAAAAGTCACGAGGATGTTCTTGTCATGCACGAAAGTCAAGTATGCACATTAAATGGAAAACAAAAAAGAAAGATTCTTCTATTATGCTGTGATTTACTTTTAACCTGGATATTTTGATAAATGTCTTGTCTGAGGACAGCCATAGTTGGGCCTATCTTTTCTGCAAAAGAACAAATATGTGGGAAAAGAAAGCTTAGTTGAAATTTTAGAGAAGAAGAAGAAATAGAGAAACTGACCAAGAACTTGAAGAATCAAGGTGCAGACATGAAGAAAAGGCTTGGTTGGTATATGAGCAGCATCGAGACTATCACCAGGCTGAACTTTGGCTAACATGGACAGCTCTTCAATGGCAAACCTTAACTCCGACCTTTAGTCCATTTCCCTTTTTCTCTTCATTTCAATCTCTACAACTTCCTTGTCCTTTCTTGATTCTAGCTTACCTCATATAGCTCACAGCTAACTTTCCTGAATATCTTTTATCGGTTATAGACAGACTGGGAGATTTTAGAATTTACTCCAATAGATGTACGACTGAATAAACTAACAAAACTCATTGTTACTTCAGAAAAAAAAAAACACTGGCTGGGGTGGACAAACATGTAGCTTCTCTAATCTGAAATCCTTTTTTTTTTTTTTACTTTGGTTATTTTTATTGTTAATTATTGCTTAATATTCAATAATTTCTTCTGTAAGACATTGATGGTGACTAATTTGTATTTGACTTGGGAGTTATCTACGGGCTATCATCTCACTGTTATTTAAATGTAATCTTACGGTATATAAGAGACGATGGTTTTTATTTAAGATCTCAACTGTTAGTTTTGATCTCATCAATGACTGCATAAAACAGTTGTGGGTCCTTGAATTAAAACAATCATATTTTTCTCTTTTTTTTTTTCCTGATATATGAGGGAATATTTATCATCTTGGCCATACTGAGAAGGTTTAGGAAGCAAAACAAACTAGAAATTCTAAAATTGAACTAAAGCAGCTAGTGGTTATCAACAGGGTTGCAGCATGGATTTAAAACTTAAATTCTATGATTTTGAGGTCTTAACCATCTAGATATAAATCTGTGAAAATTTTAAGGTTATTTAGTTCAACTGATCCATTGCAGTTCCAACAATTTGTTCATACCAATTTTTTGTCCCAAACTCAACCAGTTACTATATGATTCGAATTGGGATTTTTCTTTTTCTATTGAAGAAAGTTTGAGAGAATTTTGTATTTTGAAATGGTATCATTAACCAAGGGTATTATCTGTTTATTTTCCCTTCATTCGATACATTGAAAATAAGGCTATAAATGGAGGGAGAATTGAATCTTGCACTAACCTTCATCATCAAAAGGTCTACAAAATTGATCAAGTTCGAGTTTCGTTAAAAAGCTGTGTCCTTTTTTAGAAGAGAGATTTAAACTCATACGGGGAATCTTTCACGTGTAACAAAACTCTGCCTCTTATACATAAAGAAAATGCTGGAAGGAATTGGACAAATATGTATCAGTGTTAGGAGAGTCAACTAAGCGACTGTAGCATCCTTCACTTGCAAACGTAATGATACAGAAAATTAGGACATATTAACAAAAAGTCAAGAACATTCTGTTCTTATCTATAATTACCATCAGCGGTAGAAATTAAATTTTAGTTGTTTGTGAAATGTTAGCATTGTATTAGACGGGTTTCAACCTGTCATAATTGAGTAGAAGCATTTTTTAAAATTGAAATGGAGTAAGTGGTTAGATGGTTTTTTCTTTTTTAAAATTGGAATCAGATCGAAGGGAGGTATAAGGTACTTCGCCCAAGTATATAAAAAATATATTTCATTTGCTATTTAATTTTATATTTATGTAAATATATTATACTAATAAATTTATTTTTAATATAGTAATTTAATAAAAATGCTAAATTTATAATTTATATATCATTAAGATTTACTTTATATAAAAGAATAGTATTATGAACATTATATTCAATTAAAATTATTAAACTTAATTTTGGGTCAAGTCGAGTTATATGCATATTACACATGTACATGTTAGGTTGAAGTCTAGTATATAAAAAACTTGACATCAACTTAAAGTCAAATATTGATAGAATTTTTAAAGAGTCAATTCGATGTTGTGGTGATCTTAAATCCATTTAACTCGACTCATTGCTATCTCTAAATGGAAGGTGTCCGTGTGATACCACATTTTACTTTTTTTTTTGTACTTTGGTCTTCTTTAGTTTTTACATTTTTTTTTAAATTTAGCTTTATTTTAATTTTTTTTATAGTTTAAATTATCTATTTTACTATTTCTTAATTATGTTTGAAAAGATAAATAGTTAATTGAGGTGTCCACCTGGCATTTATACTTGTTTTTTTCTTATTGCACTTCATTTGGTTTTTCTTAGTTTTCATCATTTTTTTTAATTAAATAAATTTTATAAGATGATGGGTTATTAGAGGTAAATATGGTAAAACAATTAGTATCATATGGATTTTGAACCGTTCTAATCTAATAGGGGCTTTTTTTTTTTCTTAAATTGAAATCGGGTTGAAGCAAAGATAGTTTTTTTTTTTGTTTAAAATTTGAGATAGGGTTGAAGGCGGGTTTGGAATGTTCCATCTCACCCTCATTAGAATATATATAAAAATATATTTTTTATTATTCATTTAATTTATATTTATATATATTATATTAATCAAGTTATTTTGTATAATTAACATATGATATATATTAAAAAAAAACTAATAATTTTATATTTTTGGTACTTAAAGTTACTAGAATTTGATTTTTGATCATTAGAATTAAAAGTCTAGCACTCACCAACAAATCATGTTGTTATAGATAAAAAATAATAGTTTTATAAACATTATACTAAATTAAAATTATTCAATTCATTTCGAATCACGAAAAATTGAATATTTATACATATGTATATGTTGAGTTGCGGTTAGGTATAAAAACTTAAAACTCAATGCCACATTTGAGTCGAAGTTAAGCTGGACTATTAAAGAATTAGATTAGAGTTAAAGCTAGCAAAAATCAACCTTAACCCGATATGTTATTATCCTTAAGTAGAGATATTCATATGACACCTTAAATTGGCTATTTTTCTTTCTTTTTTATTAGAGCTTTCCCTTTTTTTAAGTTTTAACTTTATTTTTTTTTCAATTATTTTATTTTATTATTTCTTAATTATGTTTTGAAAGATATATTTGACAGAATGGATTTAAATTTGATTTGTTATATGAAGTACAATAATGAAATGCATACATTATATACAAATTAATTGTTAAATTTTCAATAATAAATATTTTTATTAAAAATTGTAAATGTAAATATATTTATTGATTTATTAAATTTATTGTTGTAGACATCGAATTTTGTCATGTATATTTTTCAACATGATTGATCCGAAGCTCATTTATGAACAAAAAGTCAAGACCATTTACGAGAACTATTTAAGACCTGTAAAGAACTTATAAATTTGTCAATTTAAAATCCAAACTTAACTCAAGTTAAAACGAGTCAAATGATATAAAATTCGATCAAAAGAAAGACAACATTAAAATTTCATTGTGCCTCGTCGAGAAAAGGTCAAATTATCAAAATACCCTTATGAGGGTATTTTTGTGAAACCTTCCAGACCTTGATCCTATAATATTTCATGATTTTTCATGCACTTAGAATTACAGTGGCACCTTTAAAAGTGTAAAATTATCAAAATATTCTTATAAGGGTATTTTATAATTTGACCTTTCCGAGCTCGAAATTTTGTAAAACTTTTCAGATCTCACTTTTGTAACATTTCATGATTTTTGGTGAGTTTGAAATTATAATAGTATCCTGAAAAGTGTGAAATTATCAAAATACCCTTTGAGGGGTATTTTCTTAATTTGGCATTTTCAAGCTCAAATTTCACAAAACTTTCAATGTCCTAGTTTTTTAATATTTTATGATTTTTTATGTATTTAAAATTATAATAGTCCTCAAAAAATGTGAAATTATCAAAATACTCTCATAAGGGTATTTTAGTAATTTAACATTTTCGAGCTCGAAATTTCATGAAATTTTTTAGATCATAATTCTATAATATTTCATAATTTTTGATATTTTAAAATCTCAAAAATAACTATAGTAACCTTGCTTTTCAAGGAAAATGCCTAAATTTTAAAAATTTTACAACGAAAGAGAAAATAATCTTTTCACATGTTTGAAGGGCAAAAAAAAATCATCTTTGCAATAATTAATATGGATTATTAGATCTTTATTTAATATTGATCTTTATTTAATATTGATCTAATAGTCAAAGGTGGCCCCTTTGAAGAAATAAAAGTGCAAACTTTGACTCTCGATGAAATCTCATCCAAGTTCCACGTGGATAAAGATCAAGATCTTTCTTGGCTGACCATTAAGGAGGCTGGGTAAGTTTCGGTGAGAAGGAGGGGGATTCTGGAAAAGGGGAAGAAAGAAAACCAAAAACGAAAAGAAAGGAGAAGGAGGAGCAACAGAAAAGAGAAAGAAAGAGAGTTGAAAACGGGAAGCTTATGTAGAATAGAAGGGAGAGTGAATCAAAAACGTGAAAGGAAAAGAAAAGCAGCAGGAAGGCAGCAGCAAAAGGGCAACAAATAACCAGAAGAAGGGAACCCGTGGAAGGTGGAAGCAACCGGTTACGGGTGGGCTTGCAATAGTTTCTCTAGCTCTCTTTTATTTTTGTATGAGTTTTGTGTGCTCTTTCATCTTTCCCCCGCATGGGATCCCATCTCAAACTTGTTTGTTTCATAGCTACTGTTGTTATTCACAGCTACTGCTAATAAAGGATTATGGAAGCTCAAAGCTTCACTTTCACGCATGGTTTCTTGTTTAAAATATATTGGTTTCGTTTCCTCTCATGGTTGTAGTTATAAATGTTGCTTGTTGTTTTAAACTTTCACATTTTCCTGGTCTGATTGTGTCCTGCGTGCTCTTTCATCCTTTCCTCGCATGGGATCCCATCCCAAGCTTGTTGTTTCATAGCCACTATTGTTGGTTTATAGCTAATGCTAATGAAGGATTATGGAAGCTCAAAGCTTCACTTTCACGCATGGTTTCTTGTTCAAAATATATTGGTTTCTTTTCCTTTCATAGATTTGTTTCTACGTGGGGATTCCTTGCATGTGAGTCATGTGCATCATTTTGACTGACAAAAGAATGAACATGCATGGAAGAGCCAAGACGTGGGCCCCTTTTAATTGTATAATCTGGCAGGAGACGATGGCTTCCTTTTTTATAAACAAGTATAATGATGATGTTTAAACATCCATCAAAAGACCAAACGTGGGGACCATAGAAAAGGTTAGTGGAGTTTATATTTTCTTGATCCTGACATGAACAATAAAAAAAATTATTACTTTGATTGGAATATTTTGTAAATAAAATTTTATAAAAATATAAAACTTGAAGTTTGTTTTTAATAGAGTTTATTTTTATGTGTTTTTTATTTTAATTATACTCATATAATTTGTTTATGATTGTTTAAATTCAATTATAAATTTAATTCTATGTGTTGTTAATTTTTTTATTGTTTAGATTTTCATGCTTATTTTAATTTA